CTGCCTCCCTCAAAACCGTTGCTATCTATTTTATTTAAACGCATCTCCCTCAAACAAATCCACTGCCATGGAGTAGACAGTGGCCCTATCTCTACAGGGTTTCTGAGGCTGTAAACGTTTAGGGGAGCTGGGGGAAAGATGTAGGACCACATCTCACCTCCTCTGACTCCCGAGGCTGAATGCCACAAGGCAGTGGTCAGACAAGCCTTCACTCGCCATCCTATAATTCATTCATTCATTATAATTCATTGCAATGATCACACAGAACTCACAGGCAATACTTATGATTATGGGATTTACCAAGAAAGGTAATAGGTTATAATTCCGGTGATAATACTCAGGATATAGTTGTGCTCTCAGAACAGTTTCTTCTCTGCTGGGCTGGCAGGCAGGCCTCACTCTTGCTCTCAGTCATTGCCTTGCTCAGGCATTGTTACAAAGCTCTTTGGGACCTGCTGATAAATGCCCAGAGTATTTACAACTCTGCTATAAGCCTCAACCCAAAGGCATTCAGTTCCATGTCTATCAGCAAAACCTAGCTCCCCCAACTAAGTGTCCAAGGCAACCCATCCACCTGTCCCAAAGCACTCAGATTTGTTCTGTGGGACAGAAAACCCACCGCTCTGTCTCATGCTCTGGCTTCTGGTTCTGCTGTTGCTCTGCTGCTCCTCCAATGTCAAAGCCGTCTCCTGAATAAAAGAGATTTAATGTGCAGGGATCTTGTGGTCCTAAGAATATGCTCCATTGCCTGTCTCTTCTCTTGCTGATAGTGAGATTCCCCCATGCCTGTTTCTGAAGTATTTCATACCCAGCAGGTTGGCTATCATAACTGGTGAAACAGACCACCAATTACTTGTATATAAGTTCAAGGTGAAGCTGAAGAAAATTAAACAAGGCCATGAAGGCCAAAATATGACGTTGAGTCTATCCCACCTGATATGTTTCAAGAACATCTCAAGAACAGCCCCATTGCACACTCATGACAGAAGACTTGATGAGATGTGGGAGGGTATCAAGAATATCAGTCATGAAGAAGGCAAAAAGAAAAGTTCAGTGTGGATGTCAGAAAAGACCAAAACTTGCTCTTCATTGTAGAGTAGCTAAGGCCTGGGAAAAATGATGAAGCCAAAGAAGTGAACAGAAATTTTCAAACGGAAGCTCAAGAAGACTAAAGTATTACAACAAAACGTGAAGAGACCTAGCGAGAAAACCAAAAGGATCTTTAATTAAAAGACTAAAGAAAAAATTCAAGCTTTAAGTTGAAATATTTAAAGATTGTACGGGCAATATATTGAATGACTTAGGAAGCATCAAAAGAAGATGGAAAGAATACATAGTCACTGTACCAAAAAGAACTAGT